TTAGAAAACTCGTCACTCAGGCAGTTTCCATCCGAGTACAAGTCCTCATTAGGAAAAAGCGCCTTTCTGATCTTTCTTTTCGTAGACTTAAACATTTTCTTTGGAGGAACAGGATTCTCCAGGTGACGCTTGAATTTTTCCACAATTACTTCATGTCCTTCTGGGTAATCCAGCAGTGCAATTAAATGCAGTCCAGAGGCAAAGTGGAATGCATCGCTCGCAATACTCTGGAAAATCCGTTCACTTAGCTCTTCTGATACCTCCGAGAGTACGTCCAAGTTTAATTCTCCAGTTTTTCTCAATAGCAAGATCAAAATCTTGCTGTGTTGTTCCTCAAATATTTCTCGTACTAGATGCAGAGTCGGATCATCTGCGGCCTTTTCGATCACTGCCCACAGAAGTTCACTGAGAAATTTTCTCTTCTTATAATCTGGACTTCTTTGTCCAGGATGAACTCTGTTGGACAATGTTTTTTTGACTTTTGTCCAAAAAGAGACCTGAGGCCTCGCGTCCATTTCTCTCTGTGGGCTTTCGTCAGTCATCGTTTCTGAGCTGAGCTAAAACGTCTTCTGTGTGTTGACTGACTTGTTAACTGATTTGTGTCGACTGATCAGAGAATTAACTGATCAGTTGGTTATGTCATGGACTCTATGACATCACAAAGTCATCCTTAGAAGGGCCTCATGACACAGACATCATTTGAAGTCATGCTGATGACATCATCGTCAGCAGCATGGCAACTGTTGCTAGGGCTAATAATAGCACGCATGAGCATGCGACATGTGGAAGATAGAAATATGTGAAAGAAGGTTTTCTGGTCAGATTAAATGGAAAAAAATGACTGTTAGCCAAAAGCTAAAAATGATACCTGAAACACACCAATCCCACCCTAAAACATAGTGATTACGACACGTATCATTTTTATTCCACGTCATAATTACTGTAATTACTGTATGCACTACAATCTTTGCCAATTACATACAATTTAAGCAAAACACAGTAGATATTTTTAATATGACAAAAAGTTACAAAAGTTAACCTTGTTTGAATAGCTTAGCCAGACTTTGAACATTGAGACATAAAAGAATATGTCTGCAAATATTAAACATTGCACGTGTTTTATAACAGAAAGAAAGAAAACAAATAACAATACATGTTTTTTTTTTTTTAATTGAGAAAATATTAGTAAAAAACTGGAGAAGGAAAAGAACAGCAACATAAAGAAGAAACCCCGGAAGGGACAGAAGGGAGAAAACCCCCCCAAAAAAAACAACAACGGCAGTGAAAGTAAGTCAGGTCTCCATATAAGGTCTCTCAGCAAGTGTTGGAACATTAACGGAAAGAGAGACCATAAAGCGAAATGTGACAGAAAGCCATGGAACAGACAATGCTGCATTCCAAGTAGAGGTAAGCAAAAACCTTTTATATGGCTTAGTGTTTTGCCCAAAAATCACTCGACTCTACCTCCATGCACCTGAAAATTCTGTTTTTGTTGGTTTCTGCTTCTTTTAAGTTTGGCTCTTCAAGACATCCTCCACAAAATATAAATACTGATATGAATATGTCTCGAGCAGTTCCTAAAATGTGATTTGTAAAAGGATGTTTTAGTGTGGTTTCAGTACAATCCTCAAGTTGCTTCAGATTTTCAATGCTCCAAGCACCTGTTCTTCTGCAAACACTCTGAATGTGGGGAGGGGGAAACGGTCTTCATGTGCAATGAATTATTTTCAGTGTTCATCTGTCTGTGTGATAAAAACAGGATCAGATAAACCTTGATGTTGAATGTGCCTTCAGAGAGAAACAATTCACGAGACGACAGACCACCAGAGGAAATGGTTTGTGATTTGTCCTTTGTTGATATTTGCCAAACATGCAATATCTCTTCATGTCTTATAAATGGCCAGCCTTTCTGTTGTTCCTTCAAGATAACATTTATGTCCCCTTTTCCTTGTCTCCCTTGTCATCTGTCTTGTTTTTGTGAGTCCAGCTTGCTGGAGAGGAAGCTGGAGGCAGTCCAGGTCTGCTTGGCAGAGTACAAAGACCAGATTCAACTGACTATGACCATGGCTTTGGGAGCAGGTATAGATTATCTTCGTTAACATCAGTTAAAGTGCAACTAAGGACTTTTATTCATAGGTCTTTTATTTCTGGATTTCAAATACCAAAAGTGTTTACACATGCCTGAATACCATGGTGCCTATCTGTTGAATATGCAGCTGGAAAGTTTGCAGATTTTTTTTAATTTATTTTGTATACAAAGTATGCACATCTGATTTTGCTTAATGTAGTTATTTCTCAATTTCTGCAGCTATATTGGATCTGTTTGCAACACCACATTGAAAAATCTTTATTCAAAAAAGAAATTAGTCAAAGGGTTTCCCTTTGCGAGAGATTTATTTAGTTTCTCGTGTATTTATAGCTGTGATAAAAACAAACTCTTTAAACTCGAATGTTTTAGTATAAAACTGACCCATCATTCGTCAACTAAACACACTAAAGGTGTGTGTACACAAAGGCTGCATGAAAATAACTTGATATATGCACTTTCTGGGGTTTAAGATTTTAAAATGATCAGCAGATGTGGGCACTTCTAAAAGTGTAGGAGTCTACTTCTCTGGACAATCTAGCCGTTTGCTAGCATAATGCTAAGCTGGAAAGGCATCAGTAATGAGCATAAAGAAGCCTAAAAGTGATGTAAGTGTTATATACACATTTCCAAACAATTTGGAGTCCATTATTCTGAAATTGCTAAAGAAATTTACCTCAAAATCAGACTCTAAGACATAACTTCAGCACTCTAAACCACAGCCAGCAAGTTGAAATGAAGTTCTAGAGAAGCAAATGAGAAATACCAACATATTCACTGGTCAAATAAGAAGTTATCAGCTGAAGATTGGCCCAAACTGGATCCTCTTCCTGAAATGATCTACAGCAGCTTAAAAAAGGTTCAAGTTGTTGAAATGGCCTAGTCAAAGTTTAGTCTGCAAGTTGAGTGAAATACTGTAACAAGATCATAAGAAAGTTGTGGTGTACTGAATGTCTGCAAGCTGCCACATATCAAGACATCTTTACTTGCACTGATTATTGCAACAGTGTCTTCACAGGTCTGTCCAACAAATCAATCAAACTGATTGAGCTGATCCAGATGCTGCTGCTCGCGTTCTGACTAAAACCAGGAAGATAGAACAAATAACACCAGTTATAAGGTCCCTACCCTGGGTCCCTGCAGCTCAGAGAATAGACTTTAAAAACACTGCTGTTAGTTTATAAATCACTGAACAGCTTAGCACCACAATACATTAAAGATCTGCTGCTGTTGTACCAACCTTCCAGACCCCTCAGGTCTTCTGGGTCTGGTCTGCTCTGCATCCCCAGAACCAGAATCAAACGAGGAGAAGCAGCATTCAGCACCACAAATCTGGAACAAACTTCCAGAAAACTGTAAAACGGCTGAAACACTGTGCCTTTAAATCTCGACTAGAAACCCACCTGTTTAGAGTTGTATTTGAAACATAATCAATTATGAATTTAATGATGGCTCTTGACTTAATGTAATGTTTTTATTGTTGATTCTATGTTGCATGACTTTGTGTTTTTGTGTTTCTTAAGATGTAAAGCACTTTGAAATGCATTGCTGCTGAAATGTGCTATACAAATAAAATGTTATTGATTGATTGATTGATTGATTGATTGATTGATAAGGCGCTACAGGACTGTCCTGTCTTCAGATGTGTACATTGTGTTTAAACAGAATGGATAAAGCAGAGAAACCACTTTTTTTTTTGCACTGCTAGCTGTTAATTGATGGGCTCAAAATAATTTTTCTTACTTTATGACTACATGAATGCTTTCATATAATCCTAATCTGCTTCATTGATGGATGTAAAACAGCTAAATAAATTAGGAGAATGCATTTATTTTAATGGGACATATAAGATGTCACCAGCTTTGCAGTATAGTTTTGTTCCTAATTAAAATTTTGTTTCAGGCCTCATTTCCATGGTGGTAGCAGCATGTGTTCTGAACTTCCAGCGGGCTGTCAGGCTACTGGTCATCTCCTTGGTAACCATCTTTTTCCTGGTTTGGAATTGGATAATGGAGCGATATGGTGATTGTATGTGGGAGGCTCTCTCTCCTACCAGAGACCTCCTTAGTAAAAACTGGTTTTGGATCAGATGGTGAGAAAAAAATTATCTTTTTTTCCCCCCCAACAACCCTGTCTTTTAGCTTCAATTTCACAGGACAATCAGAGTCAATGCTGAACCATTATGGTGAAAATCTCTTTCAGGTGATGTCGTGAAAATTATGCACTGTACAGTAAGGACAGAAAAGAAATTCTGTCTCCTAGTAACAATAATGTCTTCAGAAGGTGAACGCAAACAAGTCCTGCAGCGCACATAAATGACAGTAATATGAACAGAAGCAGAAAGGCAATTAATATATTCCATTTCAGATACAGCCATTCACCCTTTTATTTAAACCGTGGGAGCGAAGTAGTGCAGAAATTATTGTACCATGTCAGCATTATGACAATATTGAACAAGAAAGATGCAGAGAATGACCATTTAAGTTTTGTAATGTTCACCTCTTTGGGAAGATTTGGTGTTTAAGAACTCTTAATCTTGTTCATATTTGAATTGCATACAAAGAACACCAGAAGAAAGTAGCCCAAATACAGTAGTGACATGTTCTGATGAATGGCACAGTCTAAAATACAACTGGCTAAGCTGAAAGTGAGAGAGTGATGGAACATTTTCATTGGGAGTGACCAGGATGAATAAGATAGAAAATGGGCAAATTAGAGGAATAACTAAGGTTGGGTGGTTTGGAGATGAAATCAGAGGGAAAGATGAGATGGTTTGGACATGTTCTGAGCAGAGTGGGTATATTGGAAAATGGATATTTCAGCTGTCTAGCAGCAGGACGAGGACAACTCCGAAGAAGATTCATGGACATAGTGAGGAAGACATGAAAATGGCTGGTCCTACAAAAGAGGAGGCAAAAGATAGTTTGAAATAGAGGCAAGTGATGCAGTGTGGCGACCCCTGAGGGGAGCAGTACAAAAAAAGAAGGTAAAGGTAGAAGACTATTTTAAAAACAAAGTCAAATTCCTTCCTCAGATTTACATAACAGTTCAAATGAATGAAACCTCTCCAATAAATGACAGACTAGCTAGCACTGTTAAATTTACTAAGTAAGTAAACTATAAGCAAAACTTATTATGTTCATTAAGATGTAAATGAAAAGCAAATTTCCTAGAGAACTGTTCTGGATACCGCCCAGTGGGGAACCAGACAGCTTGTGTCCTACTGTGGTTTGCTCCTGCTTATTTTCATCATGCTGCTGTTCTCCAAACACCCATTCAGAGTAAGAAGAAATACAGATGCACCAAACCTGCAAGGACTATTAATATATGTTTGACACAAACTATGTGTTGGTTTTAGTGGCCTTGGCACACTTTGATCTGTGGAGTTGGACTACAGTTTGTTTTTGGCTTGCTGATCCTCAGAACCACATTTGGATTGAGTGCAGTGAGGTGGCTTGGAAAGCAAGCAGAGATAAAAAAAAAAAAAAAAAAACAATGCAACTAAAAGTTTTAGTTATATTGATTTTACTCTTTGTTTTTACTTTACTTTTTAACTTTTTCTTCAAATACCCAAAACTGAAAGAATGTCATATATTACAAATATTTTACTATTTAAAAATCTCATCCTTGCAGACGTTTCAGTCGTTCGCAGATGCTGGATCTCAGTTTGTGTTTGGTGATAGTTACACTGACCACTTCTTTGCCTTTAGGGTAAGATGTTATAAGATTATTAATGTAACTTCAATATAAGTTCTTGTATCTTTAGGAGCTATTCTTGAATCCTCAATAAAGTTGTACTCTTCTTTGACAAAAGAATTGTGTACTTTCTGCAAAACACAGTGAATATTTATACATACATACATATATATATATATATATATATATATATATATATATATATATATATATATATAAACATTCAAAATATGTATAGAAAAAAAATCTTTGTATGTTGTATCATACCATCAGGCACCTCTAATCATAAAAGATGGGTGCTTAAAACAGATATATTCTGATTAAGATCAACCCCAGACTCCAAGACATTAGACCTCATGAGAATACAATAAATCAAGCTGAAGGGAATGTCGCACCTGTACCTCCTCACAGGTGATGCCCATCGTGGTATTTTTGAGCTCTGTCATCTCCTGGCTCATCTGCAAGGTGAACTAAATATTGCATATTTAACATGATTAGATGTCCATTAGAATTTAGCTTCTTTCCTAATTATAATGCTTTGTTGTTAGATTATTATTTTTCTTTTTTTTATGCCAATCTGATTTTGTTCTTTTCCAGATTGGATTCGTAATGCAGGTTATCATGGGAACATCCCCAGCAGAGTCAGCTGGGGATGTTCTGCAGCTGGGAACATTTTCCTTGAAAATGTGAGCTTCTACTGTTTTAAGTAGCAGTCAGTAGCATCATACTGCCTTATTTTAGTGATCTCATTAAACCCAACTTCTATTTTTGTCTCTTTCAGACTGATGCAGCTCTCCTGATTCGTCCTTACATCAGTGAGCTAACCGTCTCTGAGATACACGCTGTGATGACAGGAGGCTTTGCCAGCATTTCTGGTTCCATTTTGGGAGCATTTATCTCTCTTGGGGTGAGGAAAACATAGTGGCAAAGGATGTTCATGAGTAGGTAAAAATTGTCAGAGTTAGGATAGATGTTCATGTTCTGTGCTCCTTCTTCAACTTTCAAATGTTTAAAAAGTCATGAATATCCTAAAGAAACACCAGGGATTATTTGGAAGAGTATGCATTAACCAATCAATATATGATTGTGAGATCAGGCACGGTCAGACTGAGAATGAATCCCCAACTTAAAGTTGTTGTATATACTCAATATATTTATAAGGTGACTTAATATGAACTGTGTTGACCAATTTTTTCCCTCAGATGAAAGATTATCGGGCTTTTTGGCTCAGAGGTCAGTTTTGAACTATTTGATTTATGTATTTTATCTTGTCTTTGTAATTTCAGGT